GTTTTGAATATACCTTACTTAGCAAAACAACGTTTTCCGGGTCAGCTAGTATATTATATAAGGCGGGCGAGCGGTTAAGTCCCGGGTTTGATACCCACTTTGAGCAGCCTGTTGTCAGGCAGCAGTGACAACGATTTTCAGTTGGAAATATAGATGGTAATATGTTTCCAAGTGAAAATAGCCCTTAATAAGGCATTGCTGCATCAACAAAAAATGTCAGTCCTATTAGATAAATTCTAATAATACAAAATCATCAAATATTGATGGATTAACCATTGTGTTACAATCTAAGAATACGTAGTTTCACCTTAGCAGCTTACAGGGCTTAAGGTTCTGATTGCTGTTAAAATATATATATTAAAAAAATTAATACCTGCAATATACCTGCGATTTTGTTCGCGTGTAATTTAACAAAAAAATAAACTTTTTTTTATTCTTATTTTAATTGTCTTTATTTTCGGATTTTTGTATTAGCTTTATTGAACAATTTTTTATACGCAATATAAGGTATTGTGTAATACTTTATTATGTTTTTAAACACATTTGACTTTCTTAACATAATTAGTGTAAATCTGAAAAATGAAAAATCAATCCTGTATACAAAACCACCTAATAATTATATCCAAAATAATTGACCTATCTCAATATGAATATTGAACACAAATGTAATTAATTTATGTAGGTAGTTATAAATATTACTTAAAGGCAAAAAATAGTAAAAATGTAAAAATAGTTTTGATATTTATATGATATAATATATAACAATTTTAAAATATTTTGAAATAAAATAATAAGTTAAGGCAAAATGTAAAAATCACAAAAAAAACTAAATAAACTATTTAACTTTTTGTTAAATTTCACGCGGATGAAATTTTGGGTTTAGTCATTTTGTCTAAAATAAAAGTAGATTACGCCCAATTACGTCATCTATCCGCCTAAATAGTTCATTCAAATTCGGTCCAGCTGTTTCGGATAATAGTCGCAACTGGACAGACAAAAATTTAAAATAACCTGGTATATACCTATATCCTGTGCATATTTATGTGCATGTAGTAAAAGGTTCTTTTAATATTACAATTAGACTCTCCAATTTTATTTATATGTTAGATTTTCAAAAGTTATTCTCGCAGCATTCCATGTTTTTTTGCTGAATCGGCAGTACAAATAAATATGATTTTATATCATTATTATCTGAAAACCAGTTCCTATCCCCATTACAAGTACTATGTGATGAAATTCTCGTTTGCCTACTTTGACAATTTCCCAACAATATTCAAGCATACTTAATAGAGTAATTATGAAATAGGCTTAATAGGTCCGCAATATCAAAGCTATTGCTGATTAAATTATATATGATGATCTATTTTATCGTAATTAAATAAAAGCTGTACAAACCTTCATGATCGAGTACAGAGAATAGCATATTTCTCACAGACGATAGATATATCCGATATTCCCTTTCTATCATGTGGGCGGCAAACATTTTGACTGAGAATTTGTTAATGATTGAACAGAACGGTATAGTAAAGCAAAATTTTATATATTATGCATATCCAGTTAGGTTTGAATTTTGTTATTTAAAAGTCATGGCCCTCTCTGTTTTACCCACAGATTTTATGATTTAGTTCATAGCGTGCGCGATTGGTTCGAATTTTTTTTAACTACGTGTAAGTGGCATTTTGCTTCACGACAAGTTGCACGAACTTTCCGGCACGTGTAAAAAATCGACTTGTGAGAAACAGAAACTATTGCATTCAATTTAGACTAATTTCCAAAACATGCGATAGTTCGTTCGAGAAATTGTTTATATAATACACATTATTAAAAAATCAACATGGGCCTAATACATACACAGAGTGTTTCTAAGCGCGCAGCGATTAATCCAGGCTTTAATTAATTTTTTTAATTAAACCACTCGAGGAACATTAGAGGACTACTCTAATATTTTAGTATGTTTGGACCAGAAACCCAATGCCAAACAAGGTCTCACTAAAATCGCAAAAAAGTTTAAAATCAATTACGAAGAAACGAATTGACCGATTTATTCCAAAAACTTTTCCAATTACGATTTCAAAATTAACCACGAACGGCTCGGCTGATTGTCGCACAACACAATGAGCTAGCTATTCCTCATTGTGTTACATGGAATGGGTTTTAAATTTTTGAAATAGGTTCAGCCGTTTTTGAAAATGTCGATGAAAGGTGTAATAAACATACAAACACATAATTTTTCAAAATTTGTTTCAAATAATTAAGAATGACATGAAACGTCGAGTAAACATTAAATTCCTGAAAAATAAATTACAGATTAATTAATTAAATATATATTAATATATATATATATATATATATATATATATATAAATTATAAGCGAGTAATATTTCAAATATAAGCTATGAAATTAATTTGAAAATATATTAATCTCGGTTAAATTATAGTTTACTTATGTATAACCATAAACCTTTGAACTTCTAGAAATATAACTTATGATTTTTTACAATATCTGCTACAACTGCTAAATAATATAACATTTAGTAACATAAGTGAATAATAACATAAATATAAATAAAATAGAGTACAAAACAAAGTATTTTCATTAAAATGATATCCGTATTATGGTGATTTAATATAAAATAAAAGCAAATAATGATAATAATAAAATTAATAAATAAAATTTGTAAGTAATAAAAATAATACTAGAAAAACAATAAAGTAGACTAAAAGCAATAAGTGACAAATAATAATAAACATAACAAAATAACAATGTTAGAAATAATAAGTTAATAATATAATAATAATAATATCAATATTATCGTTTACAAATGGCATGCGCGGTATATTTGAATACATTTTTCATTTGCTCATAACAACCCGGTGAGTAATGGGTAAGAGTAGGTCGACCATTGTTTGACCCGGCGGGTAACGTATGGGTCTAAACCCACTGGGTTATAAATTGGCCCATAATGGGCTTATAATAACCCGGTAGGCTGTAAATGGAACCAAACAGGTCGATCATTGTTTGACCCGTGCTGTATGGGTATTTATGAGATCATTGGGAATTTTTCGTTTTAGCCTGATTGGGCGCACTTCTGAAAATACTTTCTGTGCCAGTTTAGGTGTTCGTTAATTCTTCTCTTATAGTTTTCTGATTTATGTTCAATTTCTTCATTTACTATCATCATGGTGCTGTTTATACGCACATTGAATATAAAAAGAAACAAATCCAACTGAAAATAAAAGATTTTTACTGGCTTTTTGGGAGGAAATCTGAAATCTCTCCGATAACAAGGTACTTCTGTACAAAACTATCATAGTGCCCATTTGGACTTATGGAATCGAACTATGAGGTTGCTATTGTAAATCAAACATAAACATTATTCAAAGGTGCCAGAACAAAATTCTGCGTATTCTAACTAATGCGCCTTGGTATATTTCGAACTTTTGCCTACATAAGGATTTGAAAATCTCTACAGTCAACGAAATGATCAAAATCAGAAGTTCATCTTTCAACAATAAATTATTCTAGCATACAAATCCTATTATTCAAGCGATTCACAGACGATTAAGCAAGAAATGGCCTTCCGATCTACCAAACACCTGGCCCAATGTCTGCACGCGCCCTGACTTAGTACGCGGCATACATCATCACTTCATATTTAATTTATGTTATTATTTTTGTATTCCTGTTATTATTTTATTTTTATTTCAACTTTTTTAATGCATTATCAATTTATTGTATTTTTCTGTATTTTTTCTTTTTTTTTGGACATATCAATTTTGTAAATAAGACATTAAAGTCTTGATTAACAAAAATAAATTATAACAAAAAAAAATTGCTGTCCTGGATATTGGCTTTTTGGACGGGAAAATTCATTAAAGTAAATAATTAGCTTGTTTTTCGTCGTCAGTTCGGATCGTTTATTCAGCAACCATAATTTAAGAAATAGAAGAAAAATATAATGCAAAGAGGGACTAATTATAAGGTATGGAGGCGTTAAAACCATAGGTAAACAAGTATGGTAAAAACTGGCGATAAAGGTATTAAATATTATAGTCATAGATAAATAAACTATCAAATTATAGTTAAATTGTCGTTAGATAACAACAATTTACTTGATGTCAAAATTAACATATTATGAAATATCATAGAAAAATTGGGTAGTTGACTAAAATATCGTAAAAACTGTGCAAAACGGTTAGTAATTTATCTTGGCATTCGGTGAGCATGCGTCCAGGTCTTATATTTATTTATCTCTTGTTCATTTATGAATACATCATATGCTTATATTGTCTAGGGAAATTCTTGAGATAAGAAAGTATAGAAGTCGTGGCAGAAATTACATAATTTTTCTTACATTTTTGTTCAAATAAAACTATCATATTTCTGTTTACATCATACAAAAAATTATAAAAAATGCATGGTGTTGACAAGTTAGTTGTATAAATGTTAGTGCCAATTTCTAGTGTTGTGTACACTTCTCTAGATGTAACCTACCAACGTAATATCCACTGATGATGACATTAAATTGAATGTCGAAACGTTTGGAATTAAAGATTATTTTATAAATCTTTGCCTTTTATTTGTTTGATGTATCGCCCTCAAAAACTCACTCATATATTTCAACATCAAAATTAACTACTAAATCATATATATATATATATATATATATATATATGTGTGTGTGTGTGTGTGTGTGTGTTTATTTACCTATAGCATATGATCTTTTTTATCTATGAATAATTGAATCAATTTGAATTACAAGCAACTACACTGCATTATGTTTACTTATCTATGCAACTACAAGACGTGTCGTTGCGGTTACAGTCACTGCGTGGCGCTGCTTTAGGTGAAGTGACAGTTAGGAATTATGTCCACTCTCTATATAATATGAAACGTGTACTATGAAAATATAGAAAACGTATGAGCAGAACGACCAGAACTCATCTATCAATTGTCAATATTTTTTGTATTTATTTTTGGCGCAATATATTTTCCTCTTTATGTTTTTGTATAAAAGATCACAGTTTATATTTTTATAAGCAAAAGTGTATATTATATGTGCGTAATGCGCGTGTAGGAATAAATTATTAATTGGCAATATATTTCACGGCTTTATTTGTTATTTTATATATTTAATCTATATTAAATTGGCAATTAGAAAATAATATACTAATTCTGTAAATATATTTATTAGTCTCATTTCCATTTTTGAAGGTATAAAAATGAATTATTTAAAATATACTTTACTTAATAGACATTCAATTAACCCATGGAATTGTTTCTCAGTTCTCTGAAATTCAAAAGGAAATGAATTCTCAAAGTTCCACTATTCCGACACCCACAACTGGAGTTCAGAATATGCACCAACAGTGTGTTGGGCCCACGACAACTTCTATGATGAATTCTGGAGTATCTGGAACTGGTGGAACTCTACCTATAGGCACTCATTTAAGTGATAAACCACCTCAAGCAATACACTATGTAATTTCAAACCCAATTTTATAGAATATATATATGCATATAGATTATATTCTGATCATATAATTAGAATATGTGTGTGTCTGCTATGATGATAAATGTATTTTGTGACTCCATGAAATGATTCTCACTTGCCTTTTAGCAGATATTGACAAAATCTAGACTTCAAGATTTGGTGAGGGAAATAGATCCAACAGAACAGCTTGATGAAGATGTAGAGGATCTATTGTTGCAGCTTGCCGATGATTTTGTAGAGAGCACAATAAATGCAGCATGCCTTTTTACAAAACATAGACACAGTAAAATAGTTGAAGTAAAAGACGTACAACTACATCTAGAACGAAATTGGAATATGTGGATTCCTGGCTTTGGAACAGATGAGCTAAAACCATACAAACGATCTACAATAACAGAATCTCATAAGCAAAGAATGAATTTAATACGAAGGTCTTTAAAAAAATACTAAATATTGTTAAACATTTGATTATTGTATATATTTATTTGTAGGATATGTTATGAGTGCTAAAAATTATTTCAGGGATTGTTCTAGCGACTTTAATTTAATATTTTTGATACAGAAATGCTTCAGGAATAGAGTTATGAACATTTGTTCACTTTTTTAATATTATTTATTTTTAATTGTATGAATATATGTATTCATATATTGCATATTTTTTATCACTCATATGCGGAGACAAGTCTTTAGTTTGTAATTATTCTAATTTAATTTAAAATTCATATTGTGTAAATATAAACATGACATGAGCGTTATATATATGTATATATATATATATATATATATGTATATATATATGTTTAAAACCATCTGATTTTATTAGTATTATAATTAAATATTTGGCTGTATTATCAAAGTGGTACACATATATAATACACGCTCATGTTTGAATCTGTACATATACAACACATATTGTTGTTCATTGTAAGTTGTTAAACATCATGCCTTGTATTCAGAAAAAATTGACATGCAACAGTGATATCTATTTTTACTGAATCCTGTTTTTAAAGTGCAATGAAAGATTGCTACACTGTAACTTCTTTTTGAAAATTTGAGGGAACATAACTCATATATTATGATTATTACTTTATATTTATATGTATATATATATATATATATATATATATATATATATATTTTATTTTGTTACAAAAATATATTTGTACGATATCAGTAATAAAATTGGCAATTTAATTTTATATTCATTTTTTTTTTGAATTTAGTTCTACAATTTCAAAATTATACCCACCTGCATATCAAAATAATGCACTGAATTCAGTGCATACTAATTATTGTATTATTTACATTGAAGGCAAGAAATTTTCATTCAAATATGTACGCAAAAAATATGCGCTCAGTAAATAACGCTTTTCATCAAAGTTTCACGGCATGTGCTATAATTATTGTGCAATGTAATTATTGATTGATTATTTTTTATGTTATTTTAATATTTCAAAATATAATTATGATTATTTAACTTCCCAAGAAGTTTGTTTTCGCGAAAAAATGTGATTTGCTAATTTTATGTTTTTACGACGTATCGAGTCATTTTGAATCGAATGAGACTAAATTTGTAAAAAGTATGTGTGTTTTTGACCTTTTGTCGATTTTTGCTCAAAAACGGCTGGACCGATATGGAGAATTTAAAAATCATTTGATGTAACACGATAAGGACTTGTAATTGTTTCTGCGTTTTGGCTGATCGGCCAAGCCGTTTATTTATAAATAACAGAAAGTGTAAAATTTTTCGTCCCACAATCGTCGACAATCACGAATCGATTTTACAAATTCCAAAACTTTTCGAAAGATATTGGTTGGGAATCTTGTTGATTAGTTTTTGGTATAGATCTGTCGGGCCGTTTCTTCGTAATTAATTTTCGAAAAAACTTTGTTTGACTATTTCGATTAAATAACATACTTCAAAATATTATAACTCTACGATAAGTGGTTGAATTATAAAAAATCATCAAAGTTTAGAATTTCGCCGCGCCCTTTGGTGCAGTATGCTTGGGTCCGATCCCTGTGTGGCACTATCGGGCAGTAATTATAAAAACAATTAAGGTTTATATTTAAACTACAAAACCAGTAAGAAATACAAACAACAACGTTTATTTTACATTAATAAGAATAAATATTTTTAAAATTTTAACAAAAAGCATTTTTTCTCATTTCGAACTCCAAGGCTTTAAAAGTTTAAAAGTTTTGAAAACATGGTGACTGCACACTAATTAGCTGGTTAAACCTATTAGTATATGTATAGTATGCCGCTGTATTCCGTAGAATAACTTTAAAAACGGCCAAATCCTTCGTAGAACGTAGGGGCTACGTATTTCGTAGAACATACTTTGTTCATGAACCTAGGCACAACGATTACCAACCAATAGCGAGTTCTTCTGAATTATTCCGAACCACCCAAAGAACGTTCTAATAGCCATTTAAAAAAGGCACATTTAAAAAGAATGAAATTTTTGAAAAAATATTAGACTGTTGGGTGCCGGACTAAAAGACTTCTACTGTACGTTATGTGTTTCGTGTATGTAATGCATTATAAAATGCATTTTATAACACGAAATAGATGGCATAAAATGTGTTAAACAAATTATAATTTAATTAGTACAATTACGGAATATTACAAGTATGTTTGAAAGGCTTCATTTGATAATCGAACATTTTTTAGTGAAAGCGAAAATTTTATTTTCGAAAGAACAGTTCAACATTTTACCTAGATAGCTGAATCTTAATTCTTATAGAATAAGTTTTTTTAACATCCTGTAGGGTAGTTACAGTAATGGGCCGAAAATCGATAATGAAAATTTTTGCATATTTTCACGTTTTGAAGGTTTCTAAACAATTTGACCTCAGAAAAATTTGATTTGTGTATGAGTGTGTTTTGTATGTCCGCATTTTTTTGTTCACTTTTTGGGGCGCACGGATCGACTAATTTGAACGGTTTAAAAACATTCGATTCCTATTGATAGGGAGATGTGCTGATTGGCAGATCCAGCCGTTTCGGAGATACGGAGCAAAGAGTGCAGAAAATAGAAATCGAGTTTTTGAGAGAACGGAGTATCCGATTTGAATGATCTAAAAAAGATTCAATTTGTAATGATTGGGAGAAGAGGTGATTAGTTTTTGACAAAGGCAGGTCCAGCCATTTTGAAGATACAGAGCTAAATGTGCAAAAAATGCAGTTTTTGAAAGAACTAAGCGTCCGATTTCAATGATTCAAAGAGCTTTCTGCTTATTTTAACAATATAATTGCTTTTGGGAAAAAAATTGTTTCAAATTTTTTTTTTCATATTTTTTTTTGTATATTGAAAATAATTCAGTCTTTAATTTTAATTCTGACTAAAGTTCTAATATACTTTCTCAATTCTTATAAATATTAGATAATGTTACAGCATTTATAATAATCTATTTGAAAACATTTAATATTCCTCGAACATTTTGTTACGGTACAGGAAGTTCCTGCAATTTGCCTTAAGGCAGATGCCACACACCACTAGTTATTATTATTTATTGACTTCTATTTAATAATAGAAGAATAGAATTTAGTCAATAATAGATTGAGTGGATTTATTTTTTTGTAATCAGTTTAAATCATCTTTATAAATAAAGATAACCTGGAACTTTGGTCTGGCTAACGCCTTTTGAAGCTCACGTAGGGCAAGGGCAATAGTTCGTCCTCGGTACCCCGTTACCTCGTCGCCGTGGTTTCCAACCTGTGGGGCGCGAGAATTTTGCAAGGGGGGGCATACGGCTGTTTCCAAAATACTATAATTGAAAATAAACCAAACATTTTGAAATGATATACAAAATTAAACTTAGTTTATATGTCGATTTTTACATAATATTGCATATTATTTCATATTATGATTGATGAATGATTTTTTATTATTAGAGTGGGGTGCTGTGGTTCGAAAAAGGTTGGAAAGCACTGCTTTATCTTGTCGTCACGTTACGTATCGCTTTCGTTGCATGATCAGATACAAGATATTCGAAAACGCCTAGCTTTCCTGCAACCATTGTGCACTATCATCTTGCAATACTACTGAATTTGATAGATCCGTGTTTGACGTTTCGCCCGATTGCCCGATTGTTTAGCGTCTGACGTTCTGTCTTGTTATGTTTTGTTGACTTGGGTGCATGTTTAATAAATAAGTGATATTGCAATTGTTCCGCTATTGTTTGATTTGTGTGAATTCGATTCGTTTTTATTCAATAGATGTTTTCAGTTGTGTGTATTGAGATTTTCAAAGGCGGGTGTAACCTAACCTAGGACTTTAGTAATAATCGCAATGGCTGATGAAGAAGTATTATTTGATGATATCTATGACTTATGTGAGATAATTGGCAAGTGAGTACAACATAAGACAATAATTAAAGACATTTTATTATATCGAAGTAAATTGTATTTCGTTAATGTTATGATCGCTTCATATATAATTGCTTTAAGCCATTTGCTGCGCCTTGTACACATTTGTTTATTTTGTTCGATATAATGTAAACAAATGTTCAAATTAAGCAGAGTATAGTTTAATGTAATTACAAATTTAGAGAGATTTTTATGTTAATGAACACTTCTCTAGTTGATGTGTGTTAAAATATTTAAATATGTTGTTGAATTTAGATTTAGGAAACATTTGTCTCATATGCTATTACCTTTGATTTGAATACTTATTTTTTAATTCTAATCATATGTAATAGCATTAACATTCTAATATATCACACTTTTCGTTTTCAATTAATTACCTTAAAAATGCATTACAGGAAAAAATTACATTAGAATGCTTCTAACGTCACTTATGATCTAAAATAATAATTTGCATGAATATCTTATTTCCTATAAATCCCATATGCAGTGGTACCCAGACACGCGAGCTTAATTCCTCGCTCGTATGTCGAATCGCTCGTATCTCCAAGCATTTTTTTCCATATAAATACATTGACATGTCATTACTTCCAGCACTGTGGTTTTTGAATATTAATATTAAATTAACTATTTATTAATTTAATTATTGTTTTTTCCTGTCTGTTCATGATATAAGTTAGACGTGATTCGTTAAAGAAACTAGCGGGGTGTATGGCATCGTGCCTTAAGGCAAATTGCTGTAATTTCCCGTACCGTAACAAAATGTTCGAGGAATACTGAATGTTTTCAAATAGATTATTATTAATATTGTAACATTGTCTAATATTTATAAGAATTATATTAACTGAATTGCAAAGTTGAAATTATTTGTTTAAAGTTTATTAGAACTATAGTCAGAATTAAAAATAAAATATGAATTATTTTCAATATACAAAAATTTTTTTTTCCAAAATCAATTATTTTGTTACAAGCAGAAAGTTGTTTGAATCATTCAAATCGGACGCTTAGTTCTCTCAAAAAACTGCCATTTTTACATATTTAGCTCCGTATTCTCGAAATGGCTGGGCCTGCCTTTGCCAAAAACTAATAAACACATCTCCCAATCATTACTAATTGAATGTTTTTTATATCATTCTAATCGGATACTCCGTTCTCTCAAAAACTCGATTTCTATTTTCTGCACTCTTTGCTCCGTATCTCCGAAACGGCTGGACCTGCCTTTGCCAAAAACTAATCAGCTCTTCTCCCTATCAACAGGAATCGAATGTTTTTTGAACCATTCAAATCGGTTGATCCGTGCACCCGAAAACGTGACTGGAAATTTGTATCCATAGATACATACACAGTCACACACACACACATATCCATTTTTTCTGAGATATGCCAAAATATTCAGAAACCTTCAAAACGTCGAGAAATGTAAAAATTTTCAATTTCGATTTTCGGCCCATTCAATAACTTACCCCACGGGAAGTTAATATTGGGTTGTTCGGAAAGTAACTTCGTTTTTTATAGACATTTTGGCTCGTAATTTTTGTACAATGAACAATTACTTTGATAAATTATGTATTGGCAGTTTTGATCAAACATTTTTTGTCATATTTTTGGTGCATAGTTCCGAAATCATAAATGTTTTGGTCATTATTGGCAAAAAATTGATCAAGTGCTTTTTGACAGGCTGATTTGAGGTAAAGATTTCACATCCTACAAATTTTTTTAGTGACCAAAACAAATAATGGTCAGATGATGGCGAGGTCTGGAGAATATGATGAATGTGTCATTGGGTCCCATTCAAGCTTCAAAAGTTTCTGGCGATTGACCAAACTTTTGTGAGGTCTTGCGTCGTCTTGATACAGGACTATACCTTGTTGTGGGTTAATTCTAACCTTTTCTATTGGTTATTGGTTCATTTAGTTTATCTTGCTGATGGCATAAGGCATCCAGATTAACCGTTTTGTTCTCCTGGAAAAGCTGAAAGATGAACAACTGCTTTAAAATCTTACCAAACATACTGCATCATCTTTTTCTGGCAAATTTCAGCTTTGCACCTGTTTTGAGCAAGTTTTTTTTGTTTCATGGACAAATGCGTGTATTGTATTCCTTGCATCCCGTTTGAAATTCCTAGTGACAATTCGCTTCAAAACCTGATAAGTTTCAAGACTTTTCAGATGTGAATCGCGGACGTCAGTGCGACGACACACGTTTCTTTCTATGAGAACCATACATTGAGCTTAGAGAAAAATCCCAGATCTGTTAAATTTGATAAATTTTTACTCAATGGAATCTTATGTACTATTATTCGTCAGTTTGCATCAACTGATGCTTTTCTCGCATCTTTATTAACTTCTTGGACTTGATTCATCTTGGACATCAGAATACTAGAAATGAAATTTAGCAAACCAATTTTGGCACTGTCGTACTATCAACACATCAATTCCGTTCACATCAATCAATTTCATTTTGACATAGCAAAAGAGTAAAATATGTCGAAAATGCTGCTTAATTCTTTCTGTATTCAAAGTGGCACCATCCAAAAACTACTGCATGTAATCGATTAGAATTTTTTAAACACAAGCCTTAAAATATAAGTTTTCAAATCATATAATAATTATAGGGCTTAAGTGTGATGTTAGGTTAAAAAAAATGTAGTTACATTCTGGTGGTATAAACGAAGTGACTTTCCGAACAACTTTGTATTACAGCCCATACTGGAACTATTGCAACTTTTTCGCGGTGATTTTTATCCACAATCTTTTAGAGCTTAGAAAGTTGCTTATAAATTTTTGTAAAGTCTCTAGCTGGAGTTATATTCTTTATCAACTCCTTCTACATCCTGGTCATCCTCATATTTTCCAATAATTTTACGCTTTATTTCAAGAGATATGGCTCCTTTCTTTGGACTCATGGTTATCAAAGTAAATAATGTTTTGTAAATGTGCAAAAAGCAAAAAAACGCGAACTCAACATTTATAACTGCAAAATGACTATTAATGTATAGTTAAAATTTCAAACGTTGAAATAATTTTTGATATATTGGTGTGGGTAAATCTTTACTATACAATTAATATATAATAAATATATTAATATATAATTAAAATGACTAATTATAAAATATTTCACTATCATGAAACAGCCAAAATATTTCTTTGGTAGGAAAATCATTGTTACAACTGACGAAATTCTTCATATTTTAATTTTGTCATTAACTTCGTCTAAAAGCTTGTATTTCGAATTTTGCTCGTATGTCGAAGCAACAAATCGCTCCTTTGGCGGCTCGTACCTATCTTGAAACACTCGTATGTCGGGGTACCATTGTATATTTATGAATATACAATGCAAAATTATCGGTATTATTACTACACAAATGGCATAAATATTTTTATAATTTTATTTATAAACTACATTCGAAATTATGTTAGTTATTATAATTGCTAATTATATTTACTAACATAATTATAATTTATATTATCAAAAATATTAGGTTAAGGTATTATGATTATAAAATTATTAAAGTTATATTATCATACTCTAGAATATACCCACATATTCAAAAATTCGTAAAAAGAGTTAAGAAATTGATGTACTGCATATGTGTTTATTATTATTTAAAATTATTTTATCGTATCGAATATTTTTCTATACATTTATTTTCCCTAATTATGGGAAAACTAGCTGTAGCCTATCTCGCCTTCCAGTTTTATACTTATAAATAAAAATCTAAACAAAAATATGATTCTGTTCCATCTAGTTATTATGATGGAAAATAGCGCACATAAATTTCGTGATTGATTGTTGAACTGTATTAGATGCCTTGTTGAGTTAAATATCTCATTCAGCATCGCAATATATAAACTTATAAGCATATCAGTATTTTTTAAGTTTTAATAATTAAACTGTGAAAACCAAACAAGGTACATAACAGCACATAACACATATCAAACAACCATCTATTGAAATATGTTTAAAAAATTCCTTTAATTTTTGTTTTTAAGTATAGAAATTAGGAGTGTGGTAGGAAGGTGAGAATTGAAGATTGCATGCATGATTTTTTCGAACTCGAGAAAGTTTATCGAATTTATTAAGAATAAGTTTTAGAGTTGGAAATCTCTTGATAAAATAATTTTTTTCATGTAAAATAGAGCTTTTTCATATGATTAAAATATCTCAATTAAATCTTAGTTTAAAACGATCACTGACAGAAATCGAGATATATAATGGTGTACTTAATATAATAATTCTTACGAAGTAGAGATTTGTGGTGAGAGGGTGAATATTTAAGATTATGTATTTTTTATATGCGCATTATAAAAAAATAAAAATTGGCCTGAAAATTAAAAAAAAATCTTTGCCTTGTCCAACCCTTATCACTTGGATTCAATTAAAATATGCGAAAACCTATCCAGGGATAATAGTTTTCCAAATTTTCAAATTTTCACGGCGATTGCATTTATGGTTTATGAATTCATAACTATTATACACACCCATAGACATACATCAATTTATATATATATATATATATATATATATATATATGAGTGAGTTCTTGAGGGCGATACATCAAACAAAGAAAAGCCAAAGATTTATAAAATAATCTTTATTTCCAAACGTTTCGACATTCAATTTAATGTCATCATCAGTGGATCTAAAAACAGTATGAAAATTAGCATATCTAGGTAATTATAATATATGTGGATTGGTAAAGTAACTGTACAATAAGAGAAAAATTAACAAATAGCAACACTTAACAACAAATCAAATATAAAAGATAGGAAAGGTAGTAGAGACTAGAATTAAATAAATAATTAAAAAGTATAGGCAAAAATATTTAAGTACACTCATATAAACTTACGCATATATACATATATGTACGTACACATATACACACATATACATATACACATATACATATATATATATATATATATATACATGCATATATCCATATACACACACATACAAACATATAATACACATATACATATACAGATACAACAATATATACCTATATATGTACACATATACATGTAAGACTATACACATATAAATATACGTATATACATATATGCAACGTGCATGCATATTCACAACGACGTACATGTACATGTATGAACCATATATATACTCATACCTATCTATGTAACTATAGCTATACACGTATACACATACATATACGTATAAACATGTATATACACACATATACACACATATATATATATATATATATACATATATATACATACATATATATATATATATATACACACAATACATATATATATACATATGTACATAAATGCTCACAAATATATATATATATATATATATATATATATATATACATATATATATACACATACACATATACATATACATATACACATATATATACATATATATATATACATATATACACATACATACATGCATATATACGTATATATAATTACATGTATACACATATAAATATGCACATACATACAAACATACATGTAAATAAGCAATATACATATATATACATACATACATACAAATACATATATATATATATATATATATATATATATATATAAACATACAATATATGTAAACTCGTATATATGTAAAGCGAACAAATTATTTATGAAGATGGATAATACATATAAAATACAAGTGGACTTACATTACGTTGGTTAGTTACATATAGAGAAGTGTACACAGCACTAGAGATTTGGCACTAACATTTATACAACTAACTTGTCAGCACTATGCATTTTTTTATATATAATTTTTTTTGTATGATGTAAACAGAAAAATGATAGTTTTATTGAACAAAAATGTAAGTAGAATTATGTAATTTCTGCCACGACTTCTGTACTTTGCTAGTACCGAGGCATGTATGAAAGTCACCACATGTTTTGAGAGATTTTTAAGGGTCATTCCAGGATTGTTATGGGCGGGTAGGTAGAAAATAGTCGGAAGTTGAAACTAGTAATGTTAGGCTAGGTTTGTATGGTTAGAATTAGGAGAAAAAAAAAAATTGGAAATATTATTTAGTATTACTAAGTAGTTATACTAATAACTCAAAAATCTAAAATAAAAATTTTTTAAGGTTTATTCAAAATTTGCTATGTATGGGTAGGTAAAGCTCGGGTATCAAGGCCGAAGTTAAACTAGGAAGTGTTGGCAAGGTTAGTAAGGTCAATTAGTTTTGTTCAGAGGAGATAAATTTGGAAACATTATTTAGTATTACTTGGTAGTTATCGCAGAGTAAGGAGGAATCCGATCTTTTGTTCACCACGTGGTCACATATTGATATGAAACAAGATTCTGCAAAACGTCTCTGAATGGTGTTCCGTTCATGGTAGAGAATACTGGCATTATAAAAGTTAAAGGAGTGTTTGAAATTTTTTATGTGTTCTGTTATCATAGTTTGGTTTTGGTTGGGGTTTTTCGAATTATTGTCGTGTTGTTTGAGTCTTTTTATTAAATTTTGTCCGGTTTCACCTATGTAAGTAGAAGGGCAATCATTGCAATTTATTTTGTAAACAATGTTGGAAGTACGTTCTATACTAGTGGGAGATTTCAGGTTTGTGTAGAGGGATTTAAGAGTTAGATCTATGTTGCAGGTTAGTCTGATGTCTACCTTATGAAAAAGTTTTTTCCACACTGGAAAAAGTTCTTTTACGTAAGGTAAACAAACGTTGCCTAGATATGCTAATTTTCATACTGTTTTTAGATCCACTGATGATGACATTAAATTGAATGTCGAAACGTTTGGAAATAAAGATTATTTTATAAATCTTTGGCTTTTCTTTGTTTGATGTATCGCCCTCAAGAACTCACTCATATATTTCAACATCAAAATTAACTACTAAATCATATATATATATATATATATATATATATATATATATATATATATGATGGATTTAATTATGCGACAACAGGTTAGTTACATTTGCATTAAAGTGATAAAAAAAGTCTGTTTTCAATATACTTAAAAATGTGTAAAAATAATGAAGATATGAAATGTATATGATAATGTACATCAAAATATGCAAGAAGTAAGCTGAGTATTTCAGAAAATACAAATAGAGTTTTTTTTTCAAAAATCAAGAGCTCGTAGTATGAATATCAAGGCAAAAGGGAAAAACGTTTTGACATTGTCTTTTAATAACCATTTCAATATATGTACTTAAGTATGTATTGACATCATAGTAAATTGTGATTGGCCTCAAGATTTTTACCAATTATTTGAATGGCCGGCTTGTGACCCGAGTAACCTATATTTCAATTGAACTTATCACTTCTGAGCTATGTAGTACACGCAATGTTTTAAATTATCAAGGAATTTAAATCTATCGCCAGGCCGTTCATATTTGGCTCGATATTTAATGTAGATATTTGGTATAGTGCAAAAGAAACTAAATGTAGATAGCATTAAAGACACGCAATAAAAACTTCGATAAAATATGTTGTTGATCCTATGGTTTGGACGATGCACAGGCACACCGAACCTTGACGATCGTTTTTTACGTTTTCAAATCCCACTAGCGTATACATTTTTAATGCAATTTTCCACATATAATTTAAAGTTTTTGTTTTGACCAAATATTCAAAGTGCCCCTGCGAATATTTGTGCCCCGCCCTAAGCAAACATAATAATAATAATAATGAATGGTAATCGAACCGAAGGCAGGTCCATGGTGCGAGAGCCACCACAAAAATGATTCCTTTACCCTTCGGCATATATCATTCCCATTACCAGTATGCCTCCTCCCCTCACACTTTTTTTTCATATATTTTCCTTTCCGAACTTCTGCTTCCATGCTTCCTGATCCTGCGCTTCTTCTTTCAGTTTCTCTTCTCGACGGCGAGAAGATTTTCTCTTCTTGCCAATCATTCGCATTCTTTTTCTTCCCATTCCTTTCAATCTTTCTTTTTTACCACCGACGACGTCGGACAGGAGGCACTCTTTTTGCAGAACGGGTCCGATTCAGTTTCCTTTTCTTTTCAGGATTCTGCTCAGTAGAGTCTTTTCTTCGCCCACTCTTCACAGGATTTCTTCATTTGTTAACTTTTGTCAAGACTCAATTTGCTTGCTAGTAGCGTTCTCTTCTTCGTGAATGCTGTCTTTGTGCTTTCTATCGTGCATTACAGTTCTTTGATTAGGATGCTTCCCAAATATTTGATGAGCTCGCTCGTAGGTAAGCGGTCAAGAGCGACGGGACTTGTTTCAGAGGTCCCGGGTTTGATACCCACTTCGAGACGCATGTTGTCAGGCAGCAGTAACAACAATTTTCACTTGGAAATATAGATAGCAATATGTTGCCAAGTGACAATAGCCCTTGCCCGGCATTGCTGCACCAATAAAAAGTCAGCCCTATTAGATTAATTCTAATAACAAAATCATCAAATATGTATGGATTAACCATTGGGTTACCATCTAACGAAGTAAGGAGAAGTTTCAGCCCAACAGCTCATAGGATGTAAGGTTCTGATTGCTGTTAAAAATATTAAGAAAAAAGTATTTGATTTCCATTCCGTATCGTCTATCCACTTCAACGGTTTTGCTAATCATGTGTTGTAGTCAAGTGTCTCGGTAACTAGCTATTCTCTGTACATGTTGAATAAGATGCTGCATCCTTGCCGCACTTTTCTACCTATTTTGACGCTGTTTCTATATCCCTGGTTTATTCGAATCTTTACCTTTTTAGTTTGTAGTATTTTTTTTTTAATTTCATTTATAATATGGGTACTCTGTTTATATGAATATATTTATTAACAAGTTGTCTTTGTGGGCTTATAAAGACAAAAAAAATTTAATAAATACATTTTACAATTATTTTTTGAATTAGGTCGACACACGCTAAACACTTTGGAGAGATATGCTTATATGACTTTTGCATTTAGACAATAAATATATTATTTTAATAAATTTTGTTTTCTATACCATTATTTTAATTTTATATTTGAAAATGTTTCAGGGGACCCTTCAGCTTGGTACGACGATGTGTTCATAGGGAAAGTGGTCAACATTTTGCGGTAAAGATAGTAGATGTAGCACGTTTTGCATCTAGTCCCGGCCTAAGCACCGATGGTAAGTTTTTACAAATTGGATATTGCACTTACGTTATAATAAGAGAATTATGGTATAATAAGAGAAACGCAGAAATTTAAAGATTTTCACGTGAAACTTATTCATTCATTTTTAATATTTCAGATCTTAAACGTGAAGCAACAATTTGTCATATGCTTAAGCATCCTCATGTCGTCGAATTATTAGAAACATACAGTTCTGAGGGCATGCTCTATATGGTTTTTGAATAGTAAGTGTTTTTGTTAATATTGTGATTGTAGCACTAATTAGATTAAAATTATTTAATTATAGATTTATTGTTTTATCATTTTTTTCATTTACCAATCTAATGAGTAACATATCCAATACCAAACAAATGAATTTTTGACACATGGAACAAAATACTAAATCAATTTTTTTTATAAGTAGAAATATTTTTTATATTGTTAAATAATTTAGTAAAGTAAACCAAAATGCGACAGACATAACTTAAAAAAATATATATGCAATTTTGAACTTGTTGCGTTATTTACTAAACTGAACTATATAATTTCATCTGCCAAACATATACTGTTGACTGTATCTAAATTATTCTAATTTATGTCACATCTCAGCTGCTGTTCGACAATAATAATGTAGACATTACATTTTTCTTGTATATTATATTATAATATTATCTAGGCTCATATTTTCAGCTAAATTCAAATTTCAAGTGAATTTACAATTCTAGCAGAGGACAGTTCAAATATTTTCAATGTCAAACAATGATAAGTGGTTTTTGTAATTTTTGCTATTTATTTCTACAGTATTGCCATTTTTGTTTATTCTGACGACATTCCACTCTGTCCTGAGGGTATTCATATCATATTTGTGTATTCAATCATATTTGTGTATTCAATCATATTTGGGGTAAACAATCACTTAATATCAGACTAGTTGTCAATATCTTTTAATTTAATTAATCTGTATTCATTTAATCTTTTTTATAATCACTTTAATTTATTGTTTTGTAATATAATGCTAAAGGTATAAAATACATCATTTTAAAGTTGCCGAAATTTGCAATAAATTTCCAAATTTAATAATTACCCGTAGATTTTCAATAAAAGTTTTTTTTAATAATAAGTAAAATTTGTGTTACAGCATGGAAGGATCTGACTTATGTTTTGAAGTAGTTCGTCGCGCACAAGCCGGTTTTGTTTACAGTGAAGCAGTGGCATGGTAGGTTTGATTATATACAGGATTATATACAAACAATTATCGAACTATGTTCAGTAAAATTCCCAGTTAACACCTTATTATAGAAATTCGTTTTATTACTATTTTTTTCAAGTTTGTCATCTGTTTCTTTTTGCCCTATAGGCAAGGTAACTAAGTTTTCTTCGTATATAACCTTGATCTAGTATTTCGAAAAAAATAACTTAATCGGCAGAGGAGAAATAACTATTAATTTTGTTTATCTTTTGTAATATTGCTTTTTCAACGCAATTTACTTTTTTATTTAATATTTCTTATTGATTACACCTTTGCCAATGTAAAGCTTTAATCGGACCATCATGTAAGCTTTTATAGAGGTTATATATAAAACTGTTGTATTTAACTTATATAAAACTATACATTTTACAAAACAATTTAATAACGTATTATCTAAAAATTTATTTATTTATTTATCAAAACTAAATACAAAGGCTTAAGCAGTGGTGTTGAGCTAATGTTTTTTTTTGCCGGAACGCTAAAATTAAAAAATCGATTCAAAAACCGGTTCTCGAAGAAACAAAAATCATTACAAATCCCATTTTGTGCACATATATATATATATATATATATATATATATATAATGTTTATTACAATAATAGGAACGTTTAATAAAAATTAGTTATATTATAATTTATAAAATTCACTTATTAAATCACTTTATGTATGTAGCGATTTTTTTTTAAATTTTTTTTTTTGCCGGAACGCGTTCCGGCCCGATAACACCATTGGGCTTAAGGCCAAACAATTACCAACGAAAAAAAAAAATTCACTATGAATATTGATGCATTATCTCCTGACAGCGACGTTGTAAAAATTGGCTGATGGCTGTTACACATCTTTTGCCTTCTACTTTAAAATAGTATCATTAAATAAATCAATACATTGCTTGTTTGTGAGATAATGATTGGGTAAAAGCATTATGACACTTTTATGATTTATTATTAATAGTTATTACTCATAATATATCTTGATCATACTTTTCAGTCATTATATGCGGCAAATTTTAGAAGCTTTGCGATATTGTCATGAGAACGATATAGTGCATAAGGATGTTCGACCACATTGCGCATTGCTGGCAACAGCAGACAATAGCGCGCCGGTCAAGCTCGGGGGTTTCGGATCAGCAGTACAATTACCTGATGATCGAGATTATGTTGACGATTCTGGTAGGTGATTTTGAAAGATATACTTATATTTTTTGGTTTCGGGTTAAATGACGTACGTATTCTGCAAAAAATACATATTCTTGCATAGTGCAGTAAACGGAGAGGAAAAAAGGGTATAACATCTGAATTTTTTTACTGTGTTCCGAATTGAATGCAATTTTGGAATTAGGTCCATCTTACCCTCAAGTTCAAAAGTGAAAACAATTTGGGTAGCGCCATCACCCTCCGGGGGGATGACACCCCTTCTCAATTGTGTAATTAATTTTTTTTCAAAATAACATCGGAAATCGATAGAAGAACTAATTATAAGAAAAAAAATTTTTATAAAATCGTGAGTTTTCTGAAAATAGTTTGTACTAAAGTAGTGAATCTGCTAGAATTCATCGAGATGTCTATAATGGAGTGAATTTTAGATGGAATGTGAATTACTTTAATTCTGGTGGAAATGGCGCTCATTAAACCATATGATTTAAGAGAAAAAAATTTCGTATATGCTTCTTATTTGCATGATAGCTCACTCATTTTACACGCAAAAAACTTGCAACAGCACTCATTTTAAAACTTATGTTGAGCACTATAAAACCCAATTTCACCGGAATGCATAAAATGTAAAACCTCGACACTAGATGGCTTTAAATACAACAATTAAATCTTGAACGAAATAAAAAACGACTTTGCTCTTCCAAATCTTCCTTAATATTTTTCCTAGAACACTTTATGTAATACCGATTTATTAAGATTTTTATTGACATTATTTTGTTCATTACTACATGATTTTCGTTAAAATGTATATTTTAGGAAATATTTGCAAAAAAACGAAGAAAAACGCCAAAAATATATGAATCTTTAGTGACCAGTAACTTGAAAAGTATTCGTTTTTTTGAAAAACTATAAAAGACATTTTTTTTCTTATAATTAGTACTTCTATCGATTTCCGATGTTATTTTGAAAAAATGTAATTACACAATTGAGAAGGGGTGTCATCCCCCGGGGGGTGATGGCGCAACCCGAATTGTTTTCACTTTTGAATTTGAGGGTAAGATGAACCTAATTCCAAAATTTCATTCAATTTGGAGCACAGTAAAAAAATTCAGTACTAAAACGCTCCGTTTACTGCACTTAGCATGACCTCCTGCATTTCTAAGGTATCATGGTATCAATACCTAAAAATGACATGTAGAATTGACTTTCCCGATTTCAAACTAAATGTTTTCTGTATTTTCTCATTTTCATAGATAAAATTGCAATATATTTGTTTTGGTGTCGTGGAATATGCAATAAATGCGTTTGTATCAGGTCGCTCAGGATCATGGCACTATGCTCCGCCGGAGTCTGTTACGATGCGACGTTATGGAAAGGCTGGAGATGTATGGGGAGCCGGTGTACTGCTTCACGTGCTACTTAGCGGCAGACTTCCTTTCACAGGCAGTGGCATGCGTCTTCAAGAGAGTATTATTCGTGCACGCATTACGGTACACTATTGGTCAATGATTATTTAATCTTTTTTGTTTCGCAAAATTAAGTTTTCCGTAATTTTTGAAAATTTTGGAGTGTATAAAAAAATTATGTTTACTGCGTAAATTGGCATTGTGATTATAGTTTAAACATTTTATTCATTTCTATAATGTTAGCACCGTTAAAATCAACTATGAAATATTTGAAATACTTATCAGTTATTTGTACCTAAATTCCTCCCAATTGGCTCAACAAAATTATTTATACAGTTAGCAGGACCAGAATGGAAACCAGTCAGTAATGCTGCAAAGGATCTTGTAACCCGTATGTTATCTAGAGATTCTCATGATAGGCCCACAATACAGCAAGTTCTCGACCATCCTTGGTTAAGATTAAAAGTGGTAATTATATATTAACATTTTTGATAGGTACTCTAGTTTTAGTTTTAAACTCTTTTAATACTGGTATTCAATTTTGTTTTGTTCAGGATAGAGAAAGAGATCGACATAAAAATGTGCATTTGTCAGAAACAGTAGATGAACTTCGTAGGTTCAATACACGTCGAAAATTAAGTGCAGCAGTTAGATCTGCTGCTGGTGTCTATGGAAGTTGGAGTGGTGGTACAAGTGAATATGGTGACTATCTAATGATAAAATGCTGCTTATTAAATTCATTTGTTAATAAGTATTAATTGTAGGTGGTGATGGAAATGAGGACTGGTGTGATGAATCATCTTTTGTAGCAGTTGCTAATATATTGGATAGTTTGGATGATATTAATGCTTTACAAGACCCTTATACAGATATAGATGTTATGCATGGTATATTACAAGATCGAAAACTTCATAATTTACTTGAGGTAAGTTAATTTGAATAGATGATATATTTAATTTGGGTTTATCAAGTTATAATTATTTTCAAATATCAAACAAAAATATTTCTTTACTAATAATAAGAGCATCAATGTTGATATTTCTTAGTCCATTTGGCTTGTTTTTTTTCTTTTTCAATTAGCGCAAAGAAGTTTATTAAAATTATATGTACAGAACAAATAATTTATTGAAACATAAGTAATAATTCTGATTGAATTAATTTTATTATATAATTTTTTTAATTTGCTTATAGTTATATGACAAGATATACTCTACGGTTGCATATCCAATGCGGAATCCTTTAAGTGTAGCTGAAGCGCGATATCGTGCTGTTCTTGAAGCAGCCGAACACCAAGATGGACGAGTATCGCGTGATTTGCGAGAATTCGTTGCAATTATGACTTCCACTCATATGCAGGTTTGTACTGAATTAGATTTTATCCATCAAATCTACTAATTGTCGTGCAATTATATTGTTATATATATTCTTGTTATCTTGTTATTACATTTGACTTAAAAACATACATCGCGTCTTCTGTATATTTTAAAAACAACTTTTTGTAGTTTGTTTATTTCCCGTAGAGTAAGTTATAGTAATCGCAAAAAGTCGAAAATGAGATTTTTTGCATATCTTTATGTTTCAAAGGTCCTGAACATTATGGCATACCTTAGAAAAAAATGATGTATGTGTGTATATATATATATATATATATATATATATATATATATATATATTTTGAAATATGTGAGTTTGGTGTTGATATATATTTTGATGAGTTATTTAGAACCGGGCAGTAACACCAAGTAAAGAAAAAAAAACTAAAGTAGTTTTTAAATACTTTATTTATCCATACGTTTCGGTCTTCATCGAGACCGTCATTCAGTGGAAAAAAGAATTAATTATACAAAAATACACTACACTATTACACTGTGATAACCAGGCTATTAATAATTGGAACATTTAAACTAATTAATTTTTTAGACAATTTTTGCTTACATTCTAGTGTGTACAAATTGACTAACGTCTAAAAACTGAATATATATATATATATATATATATATATATATATATATATATGTATGCATGTGCAGTACAAATTTTTGACGATGATTTTGATAGCACCGATCAAATGATTTAAACGTTTTAAAAATATTCGAATCTTATCAACAGAGAGACAGTTTTTGCAAAGGCAGGTCCAGCCGTTTCGAAGATACGGCGCAAAAAAATGGCAATTCAGATTTTGAGAGAACAGATTAAATTTTAGGGAAGGCAGGTTCAGCAGTTTTGGAGATCCAATGCAAAAAGTACATATGCATATCGAATTATCAGATATTTTATAGAGATTTGAATAATAAGCACAATATTTGTTTATCTTTTCTTTGGGTCTCGTGCCAAGATTTATAATGTTTAAAGTCCTTGATGGCAGTGTGAATTAAGAGACTTATTAATTACCAGATTAAATTGCTTTAAGGCGCGATGACATGCACCAGCACTAGTTCTTAACTGCTTTGTATGGGACTTTTTTCTAAGTTTGTGATTGTACCAGTACAATTTAATCAATCATTATGGATTTTAAATCCCTTCCTAAAATGCAGTTATCTTGACCGCATTTTATTGTGCGTACGCGGCCATTCCGTTCAGATATATCTTGAGCATCATTTAATATGTGCATCCAGTTTATACCTAAATACGTTATACGTTAATATAATTCACCCTCTAATACCGACACAGATTTTAGATTAGATACGGGGTGGATATGTGTGGGAGGAATATATTATCGACGAACCAACTGCGTTTGCGCCCGAAAGCGGGGCGTATACAGATGAGATGTGCAGTTCACATTGCGCGTCTAACACATTAGCGTGTGCGCCATACATAACTTATGACTTAAACATAATCCGATAGTGAATCTGCATGTACCCAGTTGTCAGACGTCAGTTCGGAAATGCAATGTTTTTATTAACAAGTTTTCAAAATCGGATGCTTGATATTATTAGATTTTAATTATAGTATTTAGTGCACGTATATGTTGTGTTGTGGTTTAGCGAAGCCTGTACAGCCGTGGATTCGTACTGTTTGGAACGTTGTCCGTGGAAACCGTCGGTATCTCAGAATTGCCGGGCTTTACCGCCCATACAAAGCAACCGTACCGTGCCACCAAACGGAGATGTTGGAAATTGTGAACACTGTTGGGAAGAATGTCGTGGGCCGCAACAGCAAGCGCCGCCGCCGTCCTCCCTAACAGAATACCGCCACGGGTTCGGTTGCCCCTTACATAGCCCATTTCGCGTAGCACAATCTCAGGTGACGACAGAATATAATAAATATATGCGAATATAATAAAATAATAATAATAAAATAACAACCAATTTGTTTTAAAACTCACTTCAAAATTTCTGGTAGGGTAACTAAAAACCGTTAATTAATTAATTTTATCATTTTTAAAGAGGCATGTATATTGTTTAAAAGCGTAGTATATGACTTCGTTAACTTAAAATTATTTAATCTGCTCGAACCCAACTTTTGTGTGGAGATATTCATATTTAAACGATTCCTTTACATTATATATAAATAAACATATATATATATATATATATATATATATATATATATATATATATATATATATATATATATATATTTACTGATTGAAAATGTATAACAACTTTTCTATGCGGAAACAGGGAATTTATCCTTGACCTCTCACCAAGCGTCCTTGACACGTAACGATTTTATTAGCTTCCCAACAGCGTTGGGTGCAAAATGCAGGAATATGAGTGTGTGCATATATTCGAATACAATTCTTTGTTCGAATGAAATGAAAATCTTATTTTTTTGTCTAAATAATGTCAATTCCATGAGATAAAAATTTTATTCACTTTTATTTTATTTACCTTTATTTTTTTACATAATCAGTTTTGTAAAGAAAACATTATCTAGTGGTGTATGGAATCATGCTTTAAGGCAATTTGATGGAACTTCTATCTCGAAAATATTTTTTTTTTTAAATATTCAATTTTTTTTAAAAAAAACTTTGAAAATTTAGATTTTTGAAAATGTTGAAATTTTCGAAAAAATGACTTTTTGAAAAATTTGTATTTCTTTCATATTTTGAAATATTTTGGAAATTTTGAACTTTTTTTCAAAGCAATCGCGCTGCGTTAGCTGCTTAGAGACAAAATATAGATGTGCGTAAGCGCCGCGTCGCAGTCTAACGGATAAACATTGATACGGAACCCATAGAAATAAAAACAAAATTGGTTCTAATTATTAAAATTTCAATAAAGCATCTGATAATTTGACGTGCATATGTCTAATGATAATCTCTGACCGCTTTTCGCATCTTTTTACTTTTTTTATTGGATCTCCGAAACCGCTAGGCCTGCCTTCCCAAAAATTTTATCAGTTCTTCAATACAAATAAAATCGAACACTCTGTTATCTCCGTTATCACGGCTGGATATGCCTTGCCAAAAACTAATCAGCACGTCTCCCCGTCAATACGAATCGAAATCGTCGACGAAAATTTGTATGTGAACAGACACATATACTGGATGTATTTTTTTATAATGTATGCCATAATGTTCAGAAGACTTTGAAACGTAAAGATATATGCAAATTTTCATTTTCGATTTTTTGCGATTAATATAACTTATCCTAAAATATTTTTAATATTCAGTAAAAACCATTAACACTTATAATGACCATTACCACTTTTTATTACTCTCAATATAAGTATAAGAAGTGGGCGTACTGAATATTTTTTCCTGATTTAAATTATTCGAATTAAACAAATAATGATTTGAACCGAATTGTAATATAAACGGGCCTGTATAAGAAATAAACCATATATGTTACACAAAAATTATTACTTATAATGTAAGTTTAAAATTTGTGACTACTTTTTGAACACTTCAGTTTATACTACCGCTATCTTTTGTATATTTAAATTCATAGCATCAATTAAAACATTGCAGCCTTTTGGTTGATTTAGCTAACCTAATAGGTCGCATTTAATTCAACCTTTTTTGGAGCCGGAATACACAAAACTTGTATAGAGAAATTTGCATTCCGAACTGGAGCACAGCTTAAACCAAATTATTTGAAGAGCTGATTGTCTTTTGGAATGCAACTAAATTGGCTGTTTTACTATATTCAATGGGTTTATTTTTTAGATGAATTATTCCTTAAGTTATCCATTCCGCGTTTGTACTCGAGGAGCACAATTGGTACAAAAAAATTATATTATCAACACTCTATTGGGATTAATAATTTAGCTGGTGAATCCCAATATGTAATTGAATTTAAAAAAATAGATCCCAAGCGCCAAACTACTATCCGGTAATTTGTCCGAGTCTATCTCGTTGAAAGACTTCTTCAAATTTGCTCATAACACTTATGTATGCTTTGCTAGCAATATTAAAATTATGATTGAAACTCCCCGGCGATTAAAAGCATATTTGTTTATATTATGGCTTACTCCTAAACTCAAATGGGGCACTAAATGTAAGGTCGCTAATAAGGTAATGAACACTAATGACATTACCTCATTTTGTATACTTTATCCTAAATTAGGAAAGTTTATTATAAGGGATTCCTTGTTGCTCTTTCACGTGGCACATATTTATACACACATATATGGATTTCAATAGTTGTATAGTTATATATAAGTTTTGACCTAAAATTCTACGTCATTATCAATGGATATGAATAATAGTTCGAAAATTTATATAGTTTGCACGTAATTCTACAACTGTCATCAATCATTATTTAAATAATTTTTGAGAACACATAGTAGCGGATGCATCCAAGTTAAACTCAGACTCAGTATTTTATACATAAAGATAGCGAAAGTAAAGGGAAAAGCTATTGTACACTTGCGTATGCCTTTACAATAATATTAGGTTGTCAAAAAGGCGGAAGGGAGATATTTGACAACCTATTATGAATATTGTATAACATACATATCTTTTTTCAGGTTTTACTTCAGACACACGATTCGGTGGCACGTGAGGTATACTCCGAAGATGCTCTCCGAATTACGCCACCTTCATTGAATCCCAAAGGATTTTTGAACGGCAGTGACAACATAGATGGTTCAGAATTGGAAGAATCAGGCTGTGATTTGCAGCCGCACATCACTCGTGTTCGGCTAGTGCAATTTCAAAAAAATACAGATGAGCCAATGGTCAGTATTCTTTTACAAATTGCTTTTAAACATTATAAGGAAAAAGAGGGGATCGTTCAGAAGCATTTTAAATATTATGAGAATATTCTATGCGATGTGATTGTATTGTGTGAACAAAATTTATGGCATTGCTTAAATTTGAACCGTTCGAAGCTATATTTATATAGTTATGAGTTATACAAGTGTTGTTACATTTAACCCTTTCGCTATGAGATTGTTGTCCGGCAGCACTAGCACTGCTGTACGATCAGTAAACCACCTAAGTATTCGTTATACAAGATATTTTCAGATTTTTCAATCATCGATAAAAGTGTATTTAAAAATTAAAAATTGTACTTTTAAAAAACTAAAAAGCACAATAAAAATTACAATTTTCAAGAATTTAACTCAGAGTGATAAATATTGGCACAAGAAGTTTTTCACATTGAATGTCGTCTATAGGTGACATTCGTACACGCAGGCCGTCAATCGGATGTCATCTATAGATGATTCGTAGCAAAAAGGTTAATTTTGTATTCGTTTCAATAATTATTCATTAACTTGTGTTTTTTTTTTTTTAAAAAAATTAGTAATTCATGTTCGATTTTTAAGTTCAGTTTTTATGTCCTTTTCGTTATTAATAAAATAATATAACGAAAAAAAACATTAGGTAAATCTCTTTGCACAAACAGATAACAATTTTTACAACAGGATTGAAAGTTATTTCAATTTATAGCATTGATTTATACACCGTGTTAATATTTGTTTCATATACTGAAATACTGATCTAGTTAATATACTGAACTTGTAAAGATCTTGTATGTAGGCTGTTGAAAGGCAAATAATCTTTGTGGTTTTGAGAATCTTATAGTATTTCCGATACTAAAGATAAAAGTTTATAAGACGGTTTAATAATTATAAAACAGGCATTGTAATACATAGAAAATAGGAGGTTTAGCGTTATTACCGATCTCATAACAAAAAAATATGTAAACTGGACTTCATTAGCCTAGAGATGTAAGTTTAAACTTCAGAAAATCCGAATGTTGGTAATTTACTTATCACGTACTTTATTTTGTCATTTTAAATTCGATTAATAAATATATAATCTTAACATGTTTAGTATTAAATCTTCAATACTAAACTCCAATGCAATTACAAATTTGTAAAAAAAAAATTCTGATAAATAAGGGGTCCATGGCAAAGCCAAAGGGGGGGTCCAATGCGCCAAAATGTTTGAGAGCCTATGATTTATAGGGTGAGTGTTTATTTACAGGGAATTACTTTGAAGATGACGGATGACGGCCGATGCATTGTGGCACGTATTATGCACGGTGGAAATGATACATCGGCAGGCTACACTTCACGTCGGGGACGAAATACGTGAAATTAACAATCTCCCGGTACACAACCAAACTGTTAATTCCCTGCAGCGCCTGCTGGTAAGTTACTGCTTAACCGTTGCCAAGAAAACATAATTTACTATTGTTCTTTTGACCTTCGAATCCTTTGATCTCTAAAATAAAAAGGATTGCGGGGAACACATTTTAAGATATTCTATTTATTCCAAGTATATTCGCATGTTCGTATTCTAAACTGTTCATTTGTTCATTTCTGCATTATCAGCCGAGTCAATAAAGGCGTAAAGCAAGCATTAATCACGTGAGGTTTTTAGGGAGAGGGGGGGTTTGACAAAAAATCACGAAATATCACATGGGGGAGGTGGGGGTATAGTAAGATATCACGTGTATTTATTTTTTACTTGGAATTTCATTAAAACAATCCAAACATTTAAAAAAAAATTAAAAAAATACAATTTTTTCTAGTAAGTAAAAATACACGTGATGTTTGGTGGGGGATGAGAGGGTTAATTTTGAATATCCGCACGTGTCACCAAGGGAGAGGGGGGTCCAAAATTCCTTGAACAATCGATCATGTGATTAATGGACGTCCCCTTAGAAAGATTTTCTAACAGGCAAACATTAAAACAAATCACTACTTTAAAAAATTTCAAATTTTACAAATATCACCATTTTTTCACAATAACTCGAAAAATATTAAAGATGCGTATAAAAGTCTAATGATAAGAAAACATTTATCGTCTTTTCTGGAAAAATTCGAAAATATTGTTTTTCGAAACAATATTTAAACATAGAACATAGAACATATGTATTTTTTATACAAGCAGATTTTTTTATGACGTATTGTATTATTAATAGCAGTAATAGCAACTATACTTATTATAACTATTCTTAACACGAAAATTAATATACCTTAATCATTTACTTGGTGCTCCATGGTGGTTAATGGTTAAGCTCACGAACTCAGGTGGATGGGATCGTGAGTTCGATTTAAATCTAGATAAAAATATGTTCCCAATTGAAAATAGCCCATTTTTGGGTACTGGCCATTGCCATTGCGAAATGGCAATGGGCACTAATCTTCTCTTAATTGAATTGAAGTACTGCTCGCGGACGTGCCCCAGAGCAGTACTACCCATCATTTATTAATGATTTCCTTATGTAAATAGCATACACATTGTTTAAACAATTATTTCTTATAAAATGTTTGTAATTTTGATTATCATTGAAAAATAAAATTGAAAGAAAAAGAATGATTAAAATCGGACTTGTTTCTGGGGATTTTCTTTTTGACTCGGCTATATGCACTTTAGATTTAGTGCTTTTTACAATGTTTATCAATTTTCATCACTTTTGTTTTTTAGAGGGACGCCAGAGGTTCTATAACTTTCAAAATCGTTCCATCATACAGAAGTGCACCGCCTCCTTGTGAGGTAAGCGCCGCATCTGATGCAATGCGTGTAAGGATGTTTCTCATATAATTTTCATGATTTAGATATACTAAATTTATGAAATATTATTTTAAATAATAATCTTAATATATATTTATGCTATACATAGCATGTGCATTGTAATAATCGACCCTTAATGAGTATAATTAGGTCATTTTTACTTTCGACGCTTATTAATCTTTTGGCTCTTATTGTATGCAAAATATTTATAAACCTTGAGTTCAATTTATTATTTATCTGATAAGATAAATCTTTGGATAAGGATTAACAAATGCCTATATTTCTTGAAGTGAAAGTAGAAAACAAAAATCTTATATTGCAAATATAATAATTAAACTAATCTTAGCAACTTGTTGATACAGTTTGGGCTTTTTAAACATCACTTAAGAGATTACGAGATTGTATGTTATATGTTCATTTGTTACGATGTTATATGTTCATTTGTTTCCTTCGCATTAAATCGTCCTTAAAAATCTGTTTAAAGCCCTTACAATTCAAAACATTAAGTTTAACTTAACTTTTATATAATATTCAATTTTGATAGTAATGATATTTTATTTCCATTCAGTTATTCCGGATTAGGCCTACACCTGTATTAGTAAGTATTCTGAGTGTGACGTAAAGTTTTGTATATTTCACTGACAATTTATAATATTACTCTTTATTTAATAAGTAAATTAGTATATAAATTAATATGAAACATGATTATCAATTTTTAAATCTATTATATCTTTAGTATTGTGTGGTGGTTATTCCATTCCATTTTATAAATATCTTGCATAAATTGATGTAATATTTTAGACATTTGTAATCTATCTGACATTGCTATTGCTCTATAATATGTATTTGATCAAACTATTGGTAATCATGAGGTTTTCTTTTGTATAGAAGACATTTGTGGATGTTTTGGTGGTCTGAACAATGTGAATATAAAATAGGTGAAGATATAATTGTTGCCTTTTTTCTTATGTAGGTATTTGTACGTGCCCAGTTTGACTATGATCCTTTGGAAGATGATTTAATACCATGTGCTCAAGCTGGTATTTCCTTCAAAGTTGGGGATATATTGCAGGTGAGTAATGGTTAATCATATTTATATTGAATGATTTTTTTTTTAGTTCACAAGGGTTCAGATTTCTATTGCTCTAAAAAATTTATAACCCATAGCTTTATTCCATTATTTTATCCTAAAAACTTCGCTGTGTATTTAATTTTATCAGTTAATTTTTTATGTTATTAGATTATCAATAAGGATGACTATCACTGGTGGCAAGCAAGAAAGGATGCTGTTGAAGGGTCTGCTGGATTAATACCTTCTCCTGAACTTCAAGAGTGGCGAATAGCAAATGCGGCTCTTGAAAAGAATAAGAACGAACAAGGTTAATTGCATATCAAATTATTAATTGAAAATACTATAAATTCCTGATAAATATATAACTGGAAAATAATGATATATATATATTATTTTGCTAAAATTTTAATAATTTTGATGTTGAGATATGTGAGAATCAGTCTTTAGGGCAATACATCAATTAAAAACTTGTATGAACTTATAACTTAGGTAGATCGTGTGCCCTCTACCTAACTTTTAACATGTGGTGCGCACATTGGTGCACATTTAGGTTTCACTTTCGCATCGGAATACGGATTTGCGACATGTACTATACAATAAAAAACTCATTCTAAAAATTTATATATTGTTCCGATTTAAAGTGACAAGAATTGTTTTTATTGTGCATTGTGAACAATTATAATTATGAAATAATTAGGATTACTACAATTACATGTAAGTTTTTACACCATATCACTTTCTTATAAATTAGTTTTAATTAATAATTTTTATCTGTGCTTTCGAACTAGAGTCCACTGAAGATGACACAAAACGTATGGAAATGTGTCGAAACGTATGGAAACAATAAAAATATTATAAGTTCATACAAGTTTTTTATTATATATATATATATATATATATATATATATATATATATATAATATATATATATATGACAACTGTTGTCAGTTTTCTGTGTGACATATATTTTTCTCTTATTTTAAATTAGCACACTGTTCCAAAAAATGCAGCTTATAATGTATTTTAAAAATCATTAATCTAGCGTATGTTTTCCCCTAAAACTTGAAACGTTTACCTTGTATACAAGTAATCTATGAAACGGTCACCTCATGTACTCATATATATACTTTTATATATTTAAATATTTAAGAATTGATATAAATATACATATTTTTCAGTTAATTGCTCTATATTTGGAAAAAAGAATAAAAAATGCAGAGATAAATATCTTGCAAAACATAATGCTGTTTTTGATGGATTGGATCTTGTTACCTATGAGGAAGTTGTGCGACTCCCAAGTAAGTGTGAGTTTTATGAATAACTATTTCATAATTGTAAAAAAATTTATTTCATAAATAGTGAAATAGAATATTATATTATTCTATGTGGCTGTGAGCTGATATTTTTTTTATAAAACATATTTAATATTCTCATTTAATTTGTACTATATAAAATATAGTAGAACAAACATATATTCTTTACTAGGTGACCCCACCTTTAAGAGAAAAACTTTAGTACTTTTGGGGGCGCATGGAGTTGGTCGAAGGCATATAAAAAATACATTGATAGCGAGACATCCAACAAAATATGCATATCCTTTACCTCGTAAGTGGAATAAATAATTTTATTTATATATTTGACATCTAGTTTTTTATATAAATTATATATATATGAATTTTATATAAAATACTATTTAAATTATATTATTCAATCAAGACTTATTAACATTGCTTGTGCAATTTATCTAATTTATTTGACTCAATTACTGTTAAAAAAATCAATATATGTGCGCATGTTATATTTTGCCAGTATGTTAGATACTACATTTTCTAGTATTTTGGAGAGAGACATGATATCCGCTGTGGAAGTGACAGATCCAATAGGTTAAGAGTTATTGAGAAAAAAATTTCAAACATTCGGTATTTGATGAGCATTTAGTAATTACATCAAAGTATAAGATTAAATGGGTTTAACTAATTTTATGTACTAAATTTTTGTATTTATATTATTGTAGGAAGATTTTTAAAACAATTGTAAGTGTGATTGGTAAAACCTTCTGTTTATAATTAATAATTCACTAACACAATTAAAAAATAATGTCTCATAAAAGTAATAACCCAATAATGCCTTCATTTTTTATTGTGGGTTTTGGGAATCAGATGTAAGTAAGGTTAAAAATCATTTCACTTGGTACTTGTCCACCACTCTTGTCTGAACTGTCTCTATTTAAGAATGTTTGTGAACTATTTTAAATAGATTTTTGTTAAAAAAAAAAACTAAAATTAGGAAACTGATACATGATGTTATATGTCCTTAGATACTACACGTCCTCAGCGACCTGATGAAGAGAATGGTCTGAACTATTGCTTTGTCAGCCACGAGGAAATGGTTGCAGATATTCAAGCAAATGAATACCTTGAATATGGTCAGTTATTATATTTTTATTACATATGAAATTACACATGTACATATATATATATATATATATATATATATGTGTGTGTGTGTGTGTGTGTGTGTTCGTGTTATGAGTGAGTGTGTGAACATCATCAAATATCTAACTTGGAGTAACTTAGCAGGTACTCACGAAGATGCAATGTATGGAACCAAATTAGATACAATTAGAAGAATTCACATGGAAAACAAAATAGCAATATTAGATGTCGAACCACAGGCCCTGAAAATTTTGCGTACTGCTGAATTCGCTCCATTTGTAGTATTTATAGCCGCACCTATACTGCAAAATATTGCTGATGTGAGTAATCTTACTATACATCCATAGTTTTTTAATTAATCATATAAATGCAAGTACTTGATAGATAACACATATAAATATGCTGTACTATTATGTAATATTAAATTAAAGCGAACAAAGTTATTATGCTTTGATTAAATGTCTTCCATAATGTTTGGGAATGATAAATATTTGTTACAAAATATCAGTATTAGTACTACTATAATAATTACAAAAAAGGCTTTCTGAAAAGCTGAATTATTACCATGTTTCACTTTTGTGACTATACTCTGAATTTAGTTTTATCCATGGAATAAATTTTGTGGTTTAAAAAATGAGTGAATATTTTAAATTTAAATAATATTATTAACAACTATGATATAATTCACAGTTCACATATATTATGGTTTAAATAATCAAATTAACGAATAACAATTTTATTCTTAAATGTAAGATATAACAGTTACTATAGTGTTACTGAAAATATGTCAAATTCAGTATTAATGCTAGTTTATTAATTAATAGTATGATGGAAGTTTGGAAAGGCTTGCGAAAGAGTCAAACCTTCTAAGGCGAGCCTATGGACACTTCTTTGATGTCACAATTGTTAACAACGATATAGAGGAAACAATTAGCACTTTGGAGGCTGCAATAGAAAGGGTCCACACTACTCCACAATGGGTACCTGTAACTTGGGTATATTGACAAAACCCTGACTATGTCTAAATGGCAGATATTATTAACTAAATAATAGGCTCATTGTAAATATTTAGTTTATGTATATAAATGTGCATTTTAGGTGGACACTACAAAATTAATTTATTTATAATTGATTTATAAATAACATATTAATTTGTTCAAGATATGCATTCCTAATTAATTTATTATAGTATTGCATTAGTTTCTAAGATATTTATAAAATGCTATATTAAAAAAAAATATGTTAATAGTATATAATATTATTTTATATTATGTACTATGATATATATATATATATATATATATATATATATATATAACAAAGTGTATAAACTTATTACGAATCATTTGAAATTTGAAATATCTTACTACTTAACTAGTGTACTAATTACCAATATAAATTAAAAGATGATTTAATTTATTGACTTGCATATAGACAAAAGGAATCATTTTTGATCTCTGCATATGTTTTTGTGACAATCTTGTATAACAGTGAATGTTTTGTTTTATTCTCAACTATTTATTGCACTATTATGCTAAAAACTATTAGTTCACTATCACTAATAGTCATAGATTGAATATTTTATAATATATTTAATGATATTAACAATACAATTACTTTAGTCATTCAAAAATAAATAAAAAGTGATATTTGTATTAACATTTATTTAAAGTATTCTACCTTAGGATTACTATATGATAATTCTGGGAATTATCCAATTTATTATAAAGTAAATATTTAAAATAAACTTTGACAACGTTATCTATTACGTAAGTATTAGTTAGGTGATGTATTTTATGCTAAAGAAGCAATTTAATTATGTGTTATTGAAAAAAGTATTTATAATTTGTTAACATGTGACATGATTAATTTTATTAGTGGTATGTCAAATGTAAATGAATGGAATGTGAATTGTAAGAGTTAATTTCCAATAGCAAAACATCTACCTATTATGAATGTAATTTGTTCATAGCACGCTATTTCCAATTGAATTCATTGTCTTAGATTGATCTATCATAATTATTAAGTTTGCATTATACTGTCAGATTCATATCTGAAATGGTTTACTGTACTTAAATTTCATAAATCTGTTTTATTTAAGTACTGTAATATTTACAGCTAAATTAAGGAAACTCATTAGTTTTTATTGAATGCTCAAATTAATTTTAACTACAATGCAATACAATTGTTTCTTCAAAATCTAATAGCTATTTGCTTATGCAATATTCAAAAATATTGCCTAAACGAATTGGTTATCCAATTAAACTGTAAATACAAATTATGGCTGGACTTGTTTTGAACAGCATTGAGTTATTGTTATATTAAATAAACCGTAATATTCTATATATATATAGATATACACACATATATTAAAAAATCCGCAATAAGAAATTGATATTGAATTGGTTTTATTTTATAAAATATATTTCATAAAGATTTACATTACATCTAAAATCACAGTCTAAAACTTATTCTCTTTTTAACACAAAACAAATTTGTACATTATATTACAGAATTTTATTATGACTAAAAGGTGAAGATGCCGTTTGGACAAAGAGATAACTGTTGAGAAATATTGTGTCATCCAGACATGTTGCTATTTTGTCAACAGCAAGCTCATAATATTTTGTACTGATAAAAATATATGTACTATTATTGTTTTAAAAAATGTAATTATATTAGATATTAAATAATAATAATAATATAGATCCAAGCAATATCTTTATTAAACAAAATTCATGAATATAATACAGTATTAAATAATGCAAATAATATGCATTTCTGTTCCGAAGAATGGTTCAGCTTTTCATAAACCTATCTATATAATATTTCAGATAAATTCTCAGTGTTTATAATACTATACATTCGCTTTTCTCTCTGCCTTGTTTACTATCTATTTACAATATAATTACGATTTATTTTCATCAATCTTTTAAAGTTCGTCTTGTTCTTTCAATGATGTTCAATATGGACCTGATTCAGTTTACGATTAATCTAATTGCGAGTGAGTACCTCAGTGATTTACGCACCTGATTTTGTGAAGTAAGTGACTATTATGCTTTTAAACTTGTTTATGTATACTTATATCCAATTCAACCGCAAAATATAATTATACACTTATATATTCAAACTTTGTTATTCTTATGAAAATGTTGTATTGCTCTAATTATTTTAAAATCTTCTCTCACTCTCTTTCGCTCTATTTCCATAATTATCAGAATAAATCGTATATTTTCTTTGTATTTCAAGAAATTTTAGAATTCACGCAAAACCTATTTTATATATTTTTGTTCATTTTAGGATACCAAAATGTATTGCCATGTGGCGCAAGATTTGCAATGTATATGAATTGGAAATTGAGAAGAAAAGATGTATTTTACTTATTAAAAAAATTCAATCAGATACTAATTTTAGCGTTAACGGCTCGATAACGGCTCGATAACGGATTTTGAATATTTTACATCCGTTATTCAAACTGCTTTTTATGAACGTGGCAATGCTGCTGCTACTACGCGTCAAGAAGACGGAAGTTCGCCATTACAATAAATATCTTAATAACTGAGAAGTTCATAGGATGAGTGCTTTCTGAAAATTAATTGTTAATAATTATTGGAGATACACGGTGAGATTTTGTGATTAAATGTGCCATAAAGTTTAAATTAGTGATAAGTGTATAGTTGTGATGTTTTTCGTAACTTCTGTTTTTTAAATAACAGTGACGCTGAGGTCCCGGGTTTGGATACCGCCATTGCTCTTGTCGCATAAGTACAATAAAATCATTTTTAATGATTGGAGTATCGAGAGGAGAAAGAGACCGCCTAACCGTTAAAATTCATAACATGAAAAGGAGTGGATCTAGAGATTCACCTCCTCCGCGCACAAAAAGATCCAGAAGCAGTATGGGCAGATACGAAGATAGTTCTGATGAAAGGATTACACCAGAGCGTATTCGTCGGAGGGCAAGATCGCCCAGTTTAAGGACTAGATATATTTCCCCTCACAGGGAAGAGTACATGCGATCACGGGATATTCCTGAGAGATCTTATTCGTATAAAGTACTTTGTGTAAGTGCTCTGCACCCAAAAGCCAGCGATGAAGTAATAAAAGATACACTTTACAGAGAGTATAAAAAATTTGGTGATTTAAGTATTCGAATATCTCATGATCTAGATGAGAGGGTAGCCTATGTGTTTCAGAACTGCAGAGGATGCTCGAGAAGCAAAGCATAGTAAACCACGTATAATTTTATATGACAAAGTTGCTTTAGTAGAACCTGTTTATGAAAGCAACCGAGCTGAAACCTATCGAAGCCGACCTCGATCATTCACTCCAGAATATGAAAGAACATATTATGCACGATCACCAGAACGTCGCAGACCTATTGAACACTATGAACGAAATTATGGACCTCCCCCTACGAGCATTGCTCATAGGGAGTTTCGTCCTATTGCACACCATGAATATCTTCCTCGTGGACCTCCCATGCATCATGGACCTCCACACATGCATCCAGGTCCACCGCACCACTATGTTCCTCGTCATCTCATTCATGGTGGTCCCAGGCCTCACACCCCATTTGAAAAACCAAAATAAAAAAGATAAGTTTCCAAATTATTTGCATCATGTTCAACCAGAAGATGATCCATTGGCCACCAGAACGTTGTTTGCAGGTAATTTGGAAATAAACATATCAGATGAAGAATTACGTCGTATTTTTAGTAGGTATGGTATTGTTGAAGACATTGATATTAAAAGACCTCCACCAGGCACTGGGAATGCATTTGCTTTTGTAAGGTATCAAACATTAGATATGGCACACCGTGCCAAAGTTGAACTGTCAGGTCAATACATAGGAAAATTTCAGTGCAAAATAGGTTATGGTAAAGCTACACCGACCACTAGAATATGGGTGGGCGGTCTAGGGCCATGGACTTCTGTTCCACAGTTAGAGAGGGAATTTGATAGATTTGGTGCTATAAAGAAAATTGAATATGTTAAGGGGGACAATAATGCTTACATTTTGTATGATTCTATAGATGCAGCACAGGCTGCTGTTAAAGAAATGAGAGGTTTTCCTTTAGGTGGGCCTGATCGTAGATTAAGGCTAGATTTTGCTGATGTTACGCCTGGTGGTCCATTTCGCCCTAAGCATGCATATCCAGTTGCAGAAGATAGTGTTGAGTTTAGGCGAGTACCAGAATATGAAAGTTACGAAGGGTGGGAAGAAGGTAGTTTCTATTCTGGTCCTCCTAGAAGTTATAGAGGCCGTGGTGGACCTTGGCGTGGTACTAGAGGTGCGTACAGGGGAGGATATCATGGTGAAGGCTATAGAGAAGAGGATTATGTCAGTAGACGTCTGCCTCCTGAGTTGGACTATGAAACTTCTCGCTGCATTAGGAGATCAGGTTCTCGGGAGCCTGGAGTTGATAGATCTCGATCCCGTTCACCTAGGCATAGATCACCTGAAAGTGATTCAGATACGTCAACTCGACGAGGTTGTGTTGGTAGTGGCATGTTAGCTTCTGCCAGAACTTTACCGGAAGTTGCGCGCAAATCTACAACAACCTGGCATGGTGCACTTATATTAAAAATTCTCTGTTTCCTGCTAAGTTTCATTTGACTGATGGTGATAATGATATTGTGGAAGGACTCATGAAAGACGAAGATGGCAAGCATCATCTGAGAATAACTCAAAGATTGAGACTAGATCAACCAAAACTTGAAGATGTTCAAAAACGGATTGCAACATCTAGTTCACATGCGATATTTTTAGGTCTTGCTGGATCTACTGGTTCAATTTCAAATGATGATACTAGTGTGCAAACTAGGCCACTAAGAAATCTTGTTTCATATCTCAAGCAGAAAGAAGCTGCAGGCGTAATATCTTTATTAAATAAAGAAACAGAAGCAACTGGAGTGCTTTACTCTTTCCCGCCTTGTGAATTTTCGACAGAATTGCTAAAGCGAACATGTCACAACATCACAGAGGAGGGGCTTAAAGAAGACCATTTGGTTATTGTAGTTGTCAGAGGTGGAACAGCCTAATCCATATTGGTTTTTGGTATGATACTGTAATTTTACTATTTTTATATAATTTTTGTAGGGCTTTGAATGAATCATTCAAATATTTAATTTTACAATTTCTAATTTAAAGAGCTTTTACATATTCCAAGTTATTTATAGGAATATTATGATAGAATTCTTGTATTATCACTTGCAAATTGAAGGTAAATTAATATTTAAGTTTTACTTTGACTATAAAATATAATAATATAGTCCATAAATATAATATTAAGGTACTTTATAAGAAATTTAGATTTATTGCACATGATCGCAATGGAAGAAGCAGCATTGATTTCATTTAAACACGTTGCAAGAAAACTGATGTGAAATGTGATTAGTATTGAGTGAAGTATTTGACAACAAATTATTATACAATTCAGCATTTATTTCAGATTTTGATTTTAATTTTCAATTCAATTACTTTTCAAAACGTTAAAATGAAATTGATAAAAAAAAATTGCTGTAATTTTACAAGTGAATTTGTAATTGTGAGATTTTCCATTCATAATGTGTACTAGATCTTTAGTGGTGACGTGGAAAGTGTATGATAGGTTCATTTCATGTAATTAGTAATTAGTTATACATAATATTTGTGTCGTGTTAATATCAGTGTCAGGGTGGTTTGTGTAAAAGAAAATTTAATTTAACAGAATTTAACATTGAAGTTAAATTAAATTATCTTTTTTTTTGTTGAAAACCTTGTGCAATTAAGTGAACAAATCATCAAATAATTGTGGTTTTGTGACAAATAGAATGTTAGTTCTTAAAGACAAAAGTTGTTTTTGTAACTTTATATCCCAAAGACCTCGCGTTTTCAATAATTGTGTGTCGTTATCTAAATAACTTACGCTTGTGATTATAAATTAAAAAATGAACATTTAGAATTTTTCCTTAGTAATTTATTACCACGATATTTAAAACAATATATTTATTGAATTGATTGTAAAAAATATTTTTGTGCAGTGTTAATTGCAATAAATTTATGTGCTTTCAAATATAATCTTTGCTTTAGTAAGTCGTTATGAAAGTTTTGTAGAATTTTTGGTTTGCAGTTATATTGATAATTTTTTTACAACAAAAGACACAGTTTCATTTATATTAAGTTATTTGCCTTTGTTGGAAATGCACAGATCAGTAGAAACGGATGAAATTGCTGAGACACAATATTCTAATTGACGGACGCATTAATTGAATAGCCACTGCACAATCATAAAATATATTACTCTAAATTATTTAAAATGACATCTGTATGTTAAATATGATGAAGATCCGACTTCAAAAGTGCATGATTTGAGAAAATGTACTTATTTTTTCTTGAATGTCAATAGTATTTTGATCCATCCTGCAAAGATGCCTTTCTCAACATCACATAATTGGCAGTGGTGCAAAATAATGTAAGTATAAATTCAAATACAATTTAATTAATAAATTTTGATACCATGTAATTTTTTCGACTGGAAAAATAAAGTGTTTGCTCAGATTCATGTAAAGATAACAGGTATTCAAATGGACTACACAATACACAAGTTTTATTTGTTGAATCTGCTGAGTTAAAATAGAAAATATTGCAATTTTAATATGTCATTCGTTGTCAAAATTATTTAAAAATTAATAGAGAATATGAAAATTATATCGACATCATAATTAACTGCTATATATTATATATATATGTATATATATATATATTGAATGGTAGAGTCTTGGATTTGTGTGTATATTTTGTAGAGTTTCGAACAAGAATCCAAAAATAATACAAAATAAAAACAAGAAAAGTTTTTAAAAAAACAATTTCTTTATTTAATTATTTGTTTATTGTCGACGTTTCGGAACTAGGTACGTTCCATCTTCAGGACATCTGTCAAGAAACATGATCTTGATGAGATTTTAGCAAACAATATGTTTAGGAAAAGAAAATAGATTTTTCTTAAAAAATGAATTAAATTGTAAAAAATATAATAATGTACAGAAATATGATAATATGTTCAAAATAAAAATGATAAAAATAAATGAGTGGATTATCAGAACAGGATATTAAACATAATAGAAAATTTTTTTTGAAAGTTATGGAAATTTTTTTTTTTTTAAGAAAAGGTAATGACAAAGTTGAATTAATTACCTGTATGTTTGAATATTTGTTAGCACTTTTTCACTAAACAAGCTTTTTTAACAAAAATGATTTTGTGAGTTAATTTTCCGCCGAATAATAGATTTTGTAAATCAAAATTACTAAAAAATTTGTCTTTTTTAAAATTATTATTTGAAAACACAAATAATATTGTTCTCTGGATGTTGTTCGAT